ATACATATATATATATATATTTATATATATATATATATATATACACACATACATACATACATATATATATATACACATACATACACATACAATAAATATATACACATACATACATACACACACAAAAATACATATACACACACATACATATATATACACATACATACACACCAGGTAGGTACTCATATCACCCCCCCCCCCCCCCCCACCCTCAAAAAAAAAAAAAAAAAAAAAAAAAAAAAAAAAGGTAGAGGTATAATATATACACATACATGCACTAATAAGTATGTACATAGACAGGGATGTAGATGTTAACCACCCTAAGAACTGTAACAGCAGGGAGAGCACTGAGCATTCAGGTATAAGCATTTCTCCCTGGATTCCTTTGCATTTTCCATTGTTGAAATCTGGGTGGAGTGACCCTTTAAAAACTCATGCAGTTTATTTGTGTTACCTGAACTTCACAGGCCAGCTGTACATTGAAGATGTAATGGAAAGCTTCCTCCAAAGTCTCGCCCAAAGCCATGACCCCCATGATTGCGCAGAACCAGAACCTGTATATAGAGAGCAAATATGATGCCAGGTTAATACGGTCTGGGATAAGGTTGGTCAAGGTCAATACAATACAGTACAACAGGCATATACATGACAGTATAATAGTGCACAATAATTATGTACCATGCAAGTACAATACTGTACAATAATTATGTACCATGCAAGAACAATACCATACAAAAATGTGCGTACACTGAGTATAATAGGGTACAACAGGACCGCAGGATGCAAGTAAAAATTGTTACAATAGGTACATACAATGCGAGTTTAATAAGTATGCAACGTGTGTAGAATACTGTACGATACATACTATGTGAGTACAAATACTGTACAATAGATGTACCAAATACTGTACAATAGATATGTACCAGGCGAGTGCAAATACTGTACAATAGATATGTACCAGGCGAGTGCAAATACTGTACAATAGATATGTACCATGCGAGTGCAAATACTGTACAATAGATATGTACCATGCAAGTGCAAATACTGTACAATAGATATGTACCATGCGAGTGCAATACTGTACAATAGATATGTATTGCAATACTGTACGTATGCGCGAGTGCACACAATAGATTTGCACCGTGCGAGTACAATAGATTTGTACCGTGCGAGTACAACAGATACGTACCATGCAAGGACAATACTATACCATGTGAGTACAACACTGTACAATAGAAATCTACTGTACAGTGTTGTACTCACATGGTACATATCTACTGTACAGTATTGAAATCACATGGTACAGTATTGTCCTTGCATGGTACGTATCTGTTGTACTCGAACAGTACAAATATATTGTATAGTATTGTACTCGCATGGTACAAATATATTATAAAAGTGTTGTACTCGCATGGTACATATCTATTGTACAGTGTTGTACTCGCATGGTACAAATTATACAGTGTTGTACTCGCATGGTACATATTTATTGTACAGTGTTCTACTCACATGGTACATATCTATTCTACAGTGTTGTACTCGCATGGTATAGTATTGTTCTTGCATGGTATGTATCTGTTGTACTCGAATAGTACAAATATATTATACAGTATTGTACTCACATGGTATAGTATTGTTCTTGCATGGTACTGTATAGTGTTGTACTCTCATGGTACATATCTACTGTATAGTGTTGTACGCTCATGGTACATATGTACCATGAGCGTACAACACATGTACAGTAAGATATGTACCTCTGAGATTTCAATACTATACAGTAGATATGTACCGTCAATTACAACAGATACATACCATGCAAGTACAATACTGTATGATACTATACAATAAATTTGTACTATGTGAGTACAACAGGTACATACATGCAAGTACAATACTATACCACATACCATGCAAGTACAATACAATACCACATACCATGCAAGTACAATACTATACCACATACCATGCAAGTACAATACTATACCACATACCATGCAAGTACAATACTATACCACATACCATGCGAACACAATACTGAACAATATACGTACTAGGAGTATAATGCCATGAAATGACAGTACAAGAGGTACATATGATTTGAGTACAATACAGTATAATAATAGGTCTGTACCATGCGAGTACAATATTCTACGATATATTTACCATGTAGTACAATACTGTAAAATAAGTTCAATGAGAATACAATGAACACAGTCGAATGTCAGTACAACACTACACAATAGATGGGTATGATGTGAGTACAATACTGGTATACTAGGTAACTATGTCAGTACAATATTGCACATAAGGCAAGTACTATGATCAGTACAATACTTCTGCACCAGCGATCTGGTATACATCATGTTCGCACACATACAGTAGCCCAGAACGGAAGATGCGGCATTGCAGTCAGTGCAGGCTTAAGCCAAACCAGAAGAAACACATACTGGAACAATGAGACAAATCGTACCTTGGCACTTGGGCCCAGAACTTTCTGCAGCTGGATTCTTTCTTGTTGCTCATCCAGGGAGCCCTGGTAGTTGTAGTAAGCAACATCCCCGAGGATTAAAGCCTCCTGAGAGATGGGGAGGATGCCACATTTCATGGAGGAAACCTGGAATTTAGAGAAAGAAGATTTTGAATACCGATTGTACACAGGACTTGTGATACCAACACCAACTGATTTCTCCTGCTGCCAAACTGACCAACAGCTGGGAGTCAAAATACCCAAAAAAATGTCCCTGTAAGAGAACGATAATTGTCATATATGTCACAACCTTTCCTTCTGATACACTCATCTATTTTCATTGTAAGATATTGAAAAAAATGTTAAAAGATTGCTCCACAACACAACATGCGTAATTATCATGAGTGCACATGGAAAATCCCATTGTTGAAGGACAGTTGTGGCACTTCCATTGGTCACATTCCGAATACAACAAGCTGTACAATTTTTGCAGTGGCCATGAAGCACAGCGTAGCGGCCGCGCAATGTGTACAACCCTGAGCGATGGATGTCTGTAGTCAGGTGGGCAGTCAAACCACAGCTCACCCGCATGGTTTTACCACCTCCTGGCTACTCACATGAAGGAACCCTCACTCTAGACATCAAACAGAAATGAGCACTGACAGGATTTTCCACTTTATCTGGGCTCACAAATGCCTTAGAGTTTCCAGATCTACCTTATAGTCTCAAACTGCAGGGTGACTTGGGAGTTCCTAATGTTTCCAAATACTACTTGGTGGCTGAAATCTCTCAGCTGTCCATGCTCCACGCCACGATTGATATTCCCTTATGGGTACTTCCAGAACTGCCCAATTGTGCCTCGATTTCCTTACATGTGCTGCTTTGGCTTCAACATAATAGTGCCCCTCGACCTTGAGCCCTATTATGCTTCTCAGTCTGCGAACATGGGGCTATAGCTATTAGATATGCAGGCAACCTGATGTCACCTTTTCTGCCACTTCTGCTGACCACTTAATTATCCCCCCCCCCCACCCCAGGATTAGAACTCCTCATCCCTTTCTCCTGGTGGACCTCCCACGGCTTTATGAAAGTGCACAGCCTCCTAACCACCTGCTCATTTCCATCCAGGAAGACCCTCCAGGAAACAGAAGATCCTACCACGGGAACACTACCACTACTAAGACATTGGATTTCTCCCTTCCATTGCACTTCCACAAATCCTTATCACAAAACTCCCTTTGAGCACACTTGCCAGCATTTTCCAGGGTCCCCTGGTCTCATTTCTACACTTTATGCCGCCCGTAAAAGCAGAACTTCCCTAACATACCTTTCCTATGTGGCTGAATGACAGCGAGATCTTGGTTCACCTATCGAGGGAAAGGACTGGAGCAAGGCCTGGAAGATGGCAGCAAAGTGTTCTTTCAATACCACTTCCCTTGAGGCTGCCTACAAAGTTCTTTTGCGGTGGTACTGGGCCCCGGCTCGGATTACTCATGCTCACCCGGGTAGTAGCGACAGGTGTTTCAGGAACTGTGGCCAGCGTGGGGACATCCTGCATATTTGGTGGTCGGGCTCAAGTTTGATAGGCCTCTGGTCTAGGGTTTTTGGCCTTATGCAAACACTGCTTCATAGAACGGTGAACAAGGATGCCAGGTTGGCCCTTCTGCACTGCCCTATCTTTTTATCTCCGCCAAACATACTATAGCTCAAGCCTGGAAGACCACCTCTGTTGCCTTCCAGGGTGCGAAAACTCAGATGATTGCCATGATCACCAATGAATCCAGCATTCTCAAAGATTCCCCCATGAAATTCCTTCAAGTTTTGGAACCCTGGATAAACTACTCCTTCCCATCCTTACTTCCCACCAGTTATGGCCTCTTCTAGTAGTCGCTGGCCGCGCCATTCCTGATATATCTTTCCTTTCCTGACTCTTCCTCTCTCTCCTGTTCCTCTCTTTCCCTACATTTCCCTTTCCTCCTTTTTTAATCTGTGTCTTTCCTTCTTTCCCCTTTTCAGGCTGATACTCAATCAGTGGGGATTACTACCTTATAGAGGACAACTGGGCCATGATAGTATCATGGGTTTTGATTTTCCTACTAGTCCTCCTTGGTTATGGCGAGCACTATGCTGACTTATCACTGTCGATTGCTGACTAATATCAGCTTTTGTATGTGATTGTTTAGCTCTTCCCCTGTGTGGGTGAATCATGAGCCTGTTATGTTGCTCTGAAAAATGTAATAAATGCATTGAAACAGAAAAGAGCACTCACAGCGGCTGTGGCGGGGGTATGAATGTGGATGACGCAGCGCACATCAGGGCGCGTCGAGTAAATGGCTGCATGTGGACTGAATCCTGATGGATCAACGCGCAGGTTGGTACTTCCCTGATCGACCACCTCGCCAACAATGTTCAGCTTCACCTATGAGAGCAGAGGGTGCGGTCAGAGAAGGAAACAACTGGCCAGAATGAGGCATTATATTCATAACAGTCAGAGGCTGTAATGCTGGCTCACCAGATTGGAGGCTGACGCTTCTGAGAAGGAGAGGCCTCTGGGGATGATGAGAATGTGGTCCTGCTCCTTGCTCACTCTAACCTGTAAAGAACACAGAATTAAACAGAGGATGTCAGTTATATGTGCACACAATCATGTGACTCCCTCCCCTTGCTTCAACCCTGCAGCCAATCACCAAACCCCAGTGTGGTCACATGGGGGTGGAAGGAGTGCTCAGTCATGTGTAAGCTCTGACCAGTATGCTTTAGAGCTTACACACAACTTCCTCTTCCCTTTATTCACAATGCATGGACCAACAGGACTGTGAATGGAATGGGAGTATAAACAGTTGAAAGCTTCTATTCAGCCATCAGGAGGAGCTGTATTCTTTTTTCATATCACTGCCAGGTAGGCATGTGATTGGCCCCAAGTTTATTCTGCAGCAGGAGGACAATGACCCCAAACATACAGCCAATGCCATTAAGAACTATCTTCAGTGTAAAGAAGAACAAGGAGTCCTAGAAGTGAAGGTTTGGCCCCCACAGAGCCCTGATCCCAACATTATGGAGTGTGTCTGGGATTACATGGAGAGACAGAAAGAATTGAGGAAGTCTACATCCACAGAAGATCTGTGGTTAGTTCTCCAAGAGGTCTGGAAAAACCTACCTACTGAGTTCCTTCAAAAACTGTGTGAAAGTGTGCCTAGAAGAATTGATGTTTTGAAGGCAAAGGGGTGGTCACGCCAAAGCATTGATTTGGAATATATATATATATATATATATATATATATATATATATATATATATATATATATATATATATATATATATATATATATATATATATAGCTATTTATCAGCGGGAACACATGGGAATGCAGCTCTAGCACTGAATGTATATAAATCGCAAGGGGTGCTGGGGGATCTGTTGTTGCTGGAGAGTACCTATTTTTGCCCAGACCGTCTATTGTTGCAGGGGTGGGTCTTATGTTGCTGGGGAGTCGGTCATTGCTGGGAGGGATCTATTGTTGCTGGCTTTTGGAGGATTTATTGATGCTGACTGTTGGAAGTGTACTGTTCCCAGGGTGGATATATTCTTGCTAGCAAGAGACACTTGGTTCTGTATTCTCTAAAAGAAGCTGTACTGGGGGGGGGGGGGGGGGGGGGGGGGGGGGGGGAACCAAGGAACAGTGCTCAGAGGTGGGTAGGGAGTGGACACATAGGGTGACTCAGAAGGGGGGAGTTCCTGCACCTGTTCTCTGAGAAAAAAACCCCTATATATATATATATATATATATATATATATATATATATATATATGACTCAAAATATTTACAGTGAATTCCTATGTGAGCATGTGTATGTGTGTGTACACATTGTTTGTGTTGGGGTGTGTACATGTCCTCCATTCAATGGTTGCTTTGTTCAAGGCTGATATGTTTAGAATTGGAATTATTCATGACAAGGTTTTCCAGGTTAACAAACACTTTAAGACTTGACAAAGTATCAACTCCACCCCATCCCACAACACACAGACATGAATAATTCATTCTGGGTGGGGATTTAATACTATAGTGGCAGATCTAAAAATTCAGGACAAACAGATAAAGATATGCAGTATATGACTGTCATGACGGTCCACACCAGGTCAAGGTATGTAGATAAAGATTGCCCCAAAGTACAGTTGATGCGCCAATAAATTTTATTTGAAGACTTTTATAAAAACATCCAACACATTTTGGGAGGTTCCAAGGGGCCAATTTCATGAGGGCTGGACTGGAAAGAAATTTTTTTTTTTTTTTTTGCCCAGACATTTGTTGGGAATACTTTAGGGAAAAGCTGAAAACCACACAAGGTCCACTGTGGTTGCTGGTTGGGCAGCCTTAACCCACACCACCCTGAATGCGCAGGACCTCCGATGTCAGAATTGGGTCTGGATGCTACTGGGATTGGATACCACCTGGGAATACCAGGTTCTGGAGGCTATATCATATTTTAACTACAAACACATTTTTTGGACCATTCAGAAATTTTTGGTTAGTTTTAGTGCATCCTGAGAAAGGGGTTCTTGAAGCCCTGAAATGTGTTGGTAGTTTTGAAACAAACACGTACTATGAAGAATAAACTTCACCTGGAGTTTCAAAATGAACTTTAGATGATAGGATAGCTGGACACTCAGTATCTTCCAAAAAATTAACATTTTATTAGCTACACCCGCAGTACAGAATAAAATATTCCAACGCGTTTCAGCTGTCGGACATAAGTCATGTCTATGGTTAAGGCCTGACCGCCGAAATGCGTTGTCAGCACAGAATAAAAACACTGTAGCAAATAAAAAAAATGCCTTAATTTTGGAAGGCACCAAATGACATACTATGTATGTTGCAGCAGTGAATGCGTGGAACCTGGACACCAGTTTTCCCTTCTCCCTTACTGGTCAAGGTTGAGCTTCATGGACTGGACTTGCTTTATCAACAACAACTTTACTGCCTTCCTTTTGTAGGAACAAATGTTACGCATGAGGCCTGTGTCAGGGCCCACTGAGCACTGGAGAGCTGCTTCAAAAAAGGACTTTCACCTACACCGTGTCAAGCACTCTAAAGGTGAGGGGTTGGTAATGAATTTTAGGAAGAGTTCCAGAACATGAGAGGTGGGACTCACCGTAATGTAGGCGTTGCTCAAGTGCGCCCACCCAAAGAGGTCAGCCAGGCGGTACATGCTGGCCAGCTTACACCTGGTGAGCTTCTCCCCTTTTGCCATTGTGGCCTCCACAGCAGGGTGGATGTCATTGATTGGCGTGACCATCCCCAGACCTGAGAAGGAAAACAAAAATATAAATATGAATGGTGAAGCTGTGACCAGCCCCCCCCCCCCCCCCTTCCCAGCCTCATGTAAAGAAGCTCTACATGTGCAGCATACTATGAAGAAACAATTATCAGCATTTGAAGCAGAACTAAACCCTCCTATCCTTTTCAGCCAAGGAAGCCGCCATCTTAGCCTCTGTCTGATCAGCAACTGCCACGGTGCTGCATGTGATCAGTTAGGACTCCAGCTATTTAATGGTTGGACAGTTTGAATGAGAGCACAAGCAACTGTGATAGTTGGCATTCCGGCAATGTCACTGGTTTTTGAAACTGTAAAAATTGATGGGTTTAGTTCCACTTTACTATAAATAGAACAAATGGATCCCAAAATATAAACAGATACACATCAGTAAAATAAACATATGAATTAATAAAATAAACTATGGTTCACTCGTGATCAAGCTTTTTTATATATTAGACATTTTATGTTTTTAAACTTTCCTTTATTTTTCTTTTATGCTACAAAATGTGTCGATGGTGTTGTTACCAGTTTTACAACCAATAAATTCCCTCTTATGAGAATACCCTTAGGGGTCCATTTTTAAAACATTAATTTGGCTTGCATCTGGTGGCCAAAATGCAGCATAGCTTCACCTTGAGGTATTTCAAAAAATGATACTGCATTTTGGCTTCTAGATGGCACTGTTGATCATAGAGATTACTCTAGTAGAGAAATTACAGCCAAAATGTGTGCAGCATGCTAAATTATGAGGGGCTCCCAGCACCCCAGATCTGTACACCGGCTGTGTCCATTATGAGGGAATTTTTTTTTTTACAATACTGTGTTGAGGGGAGGCACTGCCGAGTTGAACACTTGTCCCACTCCTTACTGACAGGAGTGACTGCAGTCTCACTCCTGTCAGAAGGAGCAGTCACCTATAGCTGCTGCTGGAGGGAAAAATCGACTGTCTCCTCCCTCCAGCCTGCAAGCGGCGGAAAAGAGCTGGACACACACACACACACACACACACACACACACACACACACACACACAATGAATATATTGCCATTCATGTCTGACCACAGAGGAAACAAAGGGTAAATCTCCACAACAGGGACAGAGACAACATCATACATTCTGAAATTTCCAGTCATGGAAGGTAATCGCTCACCCTGTGTTGTATTCCTGTCACCAGCTGCCCTGCACCCGAACTTAGTAACTTCTTCCAAATGCTGTCGTAACATGACCAGATCCCGAATACTTTCTCTTTATTAAAAGAAAGTACCTCCCTATGTTTTGACAAGCCCAAGTCTCTTACAGGAGTGACATTACATAACACATCCCATTCAATATGTAATTACAAGACTCAAAACTGAGAAAACAAATACCCTAAGTGGCAAAAAAACTGCAAATCTGCAAAACGCTGGTTTAAACCCCCCTGGATACAAAATTACTTCAATATTCCATCCAATGTTCTGGGTGAAGAGATCCTTAGAAGTGATCGGTGAAGAGATCCTTAGAAGTTAGGTGAAGAGATCCTTAGAAGTGATCGGTGAAGAGATCCTTAGAAGTGATCGGTGAAGAGATCCTTAGAAGTGATCGGTGAAGAGATCCTTAGAAGTGATCGGTGAAGAGATCCTTAGAAGTGATCGGTGAAGAGATCCTTAGAAGTGATCGGTGAAGAGATCCTTAGAAGTGATCGGTGAAGAGATCCTTAGAAGTGATCGGTGAAGAGATCCAGAGAAGTGATCGGTGAAGAGATCCAGAGAAGTGATCGGTGAAGAGTCCAGAGAAGTGATCGAGATCCAGAGAAGTGATCGGTGAAGAGATCCGGAGAAGTGATCGGTGAAGAGATCCGGAGAAGTGATCGGTGAAGAGATCCGGAGAAGTGATCGGTGAAGAGATCCGGAGAAGTGATCGGTGAAGAGATCCAGAGAAGTGATCGGTGAAGAGATCCGGAGAAGTGATCGGTGAAGAGATCTGGGCTCAGAGAGATCCCTGCGTGTCCCCAGCCTCATATCGATCAGCAGAGGAAGGAGGTGCAGTGCTATCCGCTTGTGAAATCCATGAATAATGATTTAGTCGCACTCAGAAATACAACAGCTTCTGAACGGCTTCCCCCGATTCCTCTATTACACGGAAGTGATCCATCCCTCGGGGCGTCTACACCGCGCCAAACTTTGTACTTTCACACCGTGCCCTTTCATAAACCTCAACCTGCTTCTGAAAGGGAGTGCCTGCCGGCTGCAAGGAGAGGGATCAGGGACATACCGATAGGAGCCAGCCAGGAGAAAATCCCCCGAGATAAGGATCACAGATACATAGGGGGCGGATTTTAAGTTGAAAGCATAATTCCTCTTTTGCAGGCAGACTGGTGATAACATCTACTTTATATTTGTTACAGGTTCTCTTTAACAAAGCAGAACTTAAAAAATGAATAAAAATAGCCTTTTTAAGTGCTTTTTACTTGCAAGGTCTCCCTCCTTTGTAATGTTTAGGAGGGGGTGATGGAAAAACGATTAACCCTTTTACCGGCAGGGGGCGAACACACAGTCCTGGCGGCTGCAGTCGCTGGGAGTGTGTGCAAATCTGACTGTTGGACATCACATTGAAGTGACTGGGTAGCTGTGCAGCTGGCCAATCTCTTCCATACCCTAAAAAGTGCCAGTGCCCCAACCCATTGACTGACCTGGGCCCGGCACAGTGGGTGCCACTGGGTAGAGGGGAGGGCAAACAACAAATGTGCTAATAACGCTACTAATGAGTCAGAAAACATGTCCGGACAAGGTCATCCAATGCCCAGGGTGAAAATGGTGAATTGCGTCCCCCCCTCACCAGATGGAGTCCCCATTAGAACCCCGCTTTACATCAGGTGACCCCAATAGAGTCACTCTTTATATCAGGTGTCCCCATAATTCTGAGTTGTTGTTGTCGTACCCCCCCCCCCCCCCCCCCGCACTGGCAGTTTGGTACTCACTGCAATGACGGCAGCATTTCCTTCCTCTCTCCAGTCATGTGACGTGTCACATGACAAGGGAAGAGAGGAAGGAGGACACAGTCAGTCAGCAGCGCCAGCATCTATTTTCCACCCCAAGCAGGCTGGAGAGAGGAGAAAGCTGAATTCGCCCTCCAGAAGCAGTTATCGGTGACGGCTCCTTCTGACAGGAGTAACACTGTAATCACTCGTCAGTAGAGAGTGGGACAAGCAAGCTCCTGACAGGAGTAACACTGTAATCACTCTTGTCAATAGAGAGTGGGACAAGCAAGCAATTGGGCAGCTACCCCCCCCCAACACACTGCCCAGGGCAGGTGCCCCCCCTTCCTTCTTTGTCCTGGCCCTGCCCAGAAGCGATGTGTGAAAATCACTTGAAGCCATAAAAAAAAAAAAAAAGAAAAAAATTATATAGATAGAAATATATATAACACACACACACACTATAAATCAGGGTAGACATCAAAAGCTACAATTAGGTTTACAGATACACACAGATATGTGCTGCAGATGCATGGCAGTGCTATGAAATATTAAGGGAACCCCAAAGCATCTAACGCACGTGCCAAACCATATGATGCCACAGCACCATGTGGCTGGGTAGGGCACATATCTCGGAAAAGGGTTACAGACTTCATTTCTCCGTTTCTCACATGTAGGGCAGCCCACTGAAATGAATGAGCTGCCCTACACAAGATGTGGAACCTGTATGATGTAAATCTAGCCTAAAAAAAAAAAAAAAAGCATACACCACTCCTTAGCTACATCCCTGATGAAGGGCAAGGCCTTTCCCCGAAACGTGTTGAATTTGTACATTTTTCAGTGGTTTTTGCATTGGAACAAACTTGTATCTGGACTACATCACAATGCAGCTCTTCAATTTTTGTGAGCGATTCATAAGTTGCGTTCCCGCAATATACTAAACCGCCACACTGCCCGAATGTAATGATCTTCAAAAAGAACGCAGACTTAAAAAAAAAGGGACACCCACCAAATTTCCGCCCTTCCTTTCTGGAACTTACTGAGAGGAGAGGAGGCGAAACCGGCGAAGGAGCTGGCCATGATGTAATCGGCAATCTGCTGCAGGGCCAGGAGACCTGTTGGGTTGTTCCCCTTCTTCATCTGATCCTGGATCAAGCTCTCCAGATCCTCCCGAAAGGCCTGCAGAGACAAAAAGATTCATCATAAGTAAATCACAGGTCACTAAAGAGGACATGGGTTGCCCTCAACCAACATTCACCACCCAAAACCCACCCAGATCCTTGACAACCTACCAAACACTGGACACTATGGACCCATTTGTATTGTTATCAGGAGCCCATGAACCTGTCCAAGTCCTTGATAACCTACCAAACACAGGACACTATGGTAGGTTATCAATACAAATGGGTCCATAGTGTCCAGTGCTTGGTAGGTTATCAAGGACCTGAAGAGGTTGTTCAAGGGCTCCTGATAACAATACAAATGGGTCCAAACACTGGACACTATGGACCCATTTGTATTGTTACCAGGAGCCCTTGAAGCTGTACATGTCCATATCCATGATAACCTATCAAACGCTGGACACTATGGACCCATTTGTATTGTAATCAGTAGCCCTTGAACCTGTCCAGGAACTTGATAACCTACCAAACACTGGACACTATGGACCCATTTGTATTGTAATCAGTAGCCCTTGAACCTGTCCAGGTCCTTGATAACCTACCCAAACACTGGACACTATGGACCCATTTGTATTGTTATCAGGAGCCCTTGAACCTATCCAGGTCCTTGATAACCTACCAAACCCTGGACACTATGGACCCATTTGTATTGTTATCAAGAGCCCTTGAACCTGTCCAGGTCCTTGATAACCTACCAAACCCTGGACACTATGGACCCATTTGTATTGTTATCAGGAGCCCTTGAACCTATCCAGGTCCTTGATAACCTACCAAACCCTGGACACTATGGACCCATTTGTATTGTTATCAAGAGCCCTTGAACCTGTCCAGGTCCTTGATAACCTACCAAACACTGGACACTATGGTAGGTTATCAATACAAATACAAATGGGTCCATAGTGTCCAGTGTTTGGTAGGTTATCAAGGACCTGAACAGGTTCAAGGGCTCCTGATAATACAAATGGGTCCAAACACTGGACACTATGGACCCATTTGTATGGTTACCAGGAGCCCTTGAAGCTATACATGTCCATATCCATGATAACCTATCAAATGCTGGACACTATGGACCCATTTGTTATGTTATCAGGAGCCCTTGAACCTGTCCAGGTCCTTGATAACCTACCAAACGCTGGACACTATGGACCCATTTGTATTGTTATCAGGAGCCCTGGAACCTGTCCAGGATGTTTTATTTTCTTTTATCGTTGTTGCACAAGTACCATAAGCATCAATTTATTTTTGTTTTTTTAGACCAAATATATAAATGGGTGTGTATGATTTTCTGGGAACCAAAAAAGTTCAAACAAATACGTAAAAAAAATGTATGCACATTACAAAGAATGAAAACAAAACCCAAAAAGATAGGCTGAACTTTTGTCAAGGATATTTGTGCTCTCCTGAACACAGAAACTCATGTAAACGTTTCAATCAACATTTCATTAGCATTGACTGACGCTTTTTGCCCATTCTCTGTTCCTCGGGGGCAGAGACTCAACAAGATCAGTGAGAGGTGTGCACCAATCAGCCTGAAAAGGGTTAAAACCACCCCAGTCCATTCAGTCTTAAATGGTCACTTTGGCTTCTGAGCACTCAGGAGTGAAGGCAGTACAGATTCTGCTCTGCTTTAGCTGCCTGCCCGCCGACATGCAGGAATAGCCAAAACTGCTGTTTGGTTCTACCACAGCAACTGCATGATCCAAGACTTTTCGGTCTCCTTCCTGTGTAACTTGTGGCTCCACAAACTTCTTCATTTAAATATCTCCTGTTCTTATCTCAGAGAACTAACGATCTCACATCCACCCACGAATTTTATTGATGCGATTGGTAACCCGCGCCTGAAAGTCGTAATTAATAACTGCAAACCTTTTCAAGAGCCGCCCGCCTATCATAGCAATATATATTTATCAGCTCAATCAATAAGTTGTTGGCTTGTCATCAAAATGGAGAGAGAGCTTGTATGACAACCGTCAAGGTACTTATTAACCTCTCTCTGCAACCCAATAAAAGAATTCCTAAAGGGGAGGCGTTTTCTGATTTGTGATTGGCTGTCGCTGTGACCATGTGATTGGGAGTCGGAGTTCCTGGCTCACGATGATCCCTGTGACCAGCAATGGTGGGTGACAGAGTTGCCATAATGCTGAGGGCATTGGAGTGCAAAATGGCGGCACATTAGTGGCAGCATGGAATAAGGCCCACCCCCTTGCTGCACAGCCAACAGAAAGGGGGTATATATACACACACACACACATATATATATATATATATATATATATATATATATATATATATATACATACACACACATACATACACACACATATATACAGTTGCAAGAAAAAGTATGTGAACCCCTTGGGATTACGTGGAGTTTTGCATGAATTGGGCATAAAATGTGCTCTGAACGTCATCTATGTCACAACAATAGAAGAACACAGTCTGCTGAACATAATACTACAAAAACATTAGATGTTGCCATAGTTTAATTGCACATAACATGTAAACATTAACAGTGCAGGGAGGAAAAAGTATGTGAGGCCCTAGCCTAATGACTTCTCCCAGACCCAATTGGAGCCAGGAGTGAGCCAACCTTGACTCCAATCAGTGTAATAACATTGGATGTGTTGCTGACAGCTGTCCTGCCCTTAAAAAAACACACACCTGTTTTGGGTTTACTGGTTTCAAGAAGCACTGTCTGATGTGAACCATGCATCGCAGAAAAGAGCTCTCAGAAGACCTACGATCAAGAATTGTTGACTTGCATGAAGCTGGAAAGGGTTACAAAAGTATCTCCAAAAACCTTGATGTTCATGTGTCCACAGTAAGACAGACTGTCTACAAATGGAGAAAGTTTAGCACTGTTGCTACTCTCCCTAGGTGTGGTCGTCCTGTAAAAATGACTGCAAGAGCACAGCGCAGAATGCTGCATGAGGTAAAGAAGAATCCCAGAGTGTCAGCTAAAGACCTACAGAAATCTCTGGCACATGCTAACATTTTTGTTGACACATCTACAATAAGGAAAACATTAAACAAGAATGGAGTACATGGGAGGACACCACGGAGGAAGCCATTGCTGTCCAAAAAGAATATTGCAGCACGTTTGAAGTTTGCAAAAGAGCACCTGGATGTTCCACAGCACTACTGGCAAAATATACTGTGGACAGATGAAACCAAGATTGAGTTGTTTGGGAAGAACACACAACACTGTGTGGAGAAAAAAAGGCACAGCACACCAACATCAAAACCTCATCCCCACTGTAAAACATGGCGGAGGGAGCATCATGGTTTGGGGCTGCTTTGCTGCCTCAGGGCCTGGACGGATTGTTGTCATTGATGGGAAAATGAATTCCAGAGTTTATCAAGACATTTTGCAGGAAAACGTACGACCATCTGTCCGCCAACTGAAGCTCCGCAGAGGATGGGTGATGCAACAGGACAATGACCCAAAGCATACAAGTAATTCAACAAAACAATGGCTGCAACAGCACAGAATACGCCTTCTGGAGTGGCCCAGTCAGAGTCCTGACCTCAACCCGATTGAAATGCTGTGGCATTACCTTAAGAGAGCGATTCACACCAGACATCCCAAGAATATTGCTACACTGAAACAGTTTTGTGAAGAGGAGTGGTCCAAAATGACTCCAGATCGTTGTGCAGGTCTGATCTGCAACTACAGGAAACGTTTGGTTGAGGTTATTGCTGCCAAAGGAGGGTCAACCGGTTATTAAGTCGAAAGGTTCACATACATTTTCCTCCCTGCACTGTGAATGTTTACATGTTATGTGCAATTAAACCATGGCAACATCTAATGTTTGTGTAGTATTATGTTCAGCAGACTGTGTTCTTCTATTGTTGTGACTTAGATGACGTTCAGAGCACATTTTATGCCCAATTCATGCAAAACTCCACGTAATCCCAAGGGGTTCACATACTTTTTCTTGCAACTGTATATACACACATACACACACACACACACACACACACACATATATATACACATACATGTGCACACATATTTTACACATACATACATATATCCACCCTAACAAAGGTTTCTCTTGTATTCTACCTTTTGGTCTGTTAGTATACCATCAAAAGTCTATTGTTAGATCTTTTCAATCAAAGCAAAAAAAAAAAAAAACGTTGATCCTGCTAGAAATCCTGTGAGCTGGTAACTTCCTGTTCTGCGCTCTTATCAATTACATTATTCCCAGGGCTCTCTGTGGACTATAAAATACCTCTCTGGTATGGAAATTGGAGAGAAGCGTGTTCTACAGTTCTGTCCTAGGGTGACAATGCTACTCATAGCGAAAGAATAGCGAGAGAACGTTGTCACTCTTGAAGAGGAAGTGTGTAACTGGCAGGATTGCCAGATGAAAGGCAAAAAACTATTGAAAAATGGAAAAAAATGGAATCTAAGGACTGATAATCTGCAATATATTACTTGGATTTAGGTACACTTTAGAATGAGTTTCCATCTTGTTGGAAATTCTCTTTGAAGACGCATTTCTGTAATTCAAGAAATAGTGGCCCAGACTCACTGCGTTGCAGTTTAGTGTCACTTTGACAGAAGCAGCGGTGTCACCTGGGGGTACGATCAAAGGCGACACTTGCCCCGCCTCTGAGCGCAAAACAAGATGCGTTACAGCACACTCCCCTCCCATCTCTGCCATGTATACATGGGACCTGTAGTTCTACTGCCACTGTCACATGACCATAAGTAGCCACGCATCCCAGTCTAGAATGCATAAGCAGAGGAATGTGCAAAAATTTCATTAATTCATTCAAAAATTGTATTTGTCAAAGGACAAAATGGGCAGCACAGTGGCTTAGTGGTTAGCACGTCTGCCGTGCAGTAAATGGGTCATGGGTTCGATCCCCAACCATGGCGCCTCCTGCATGGAGTTTGCATATTCTCCCTGTGCCTGCGTGGGTTTCCTCCAGGTACTCCGGTTTCCTTCCACACTGCAAAGACATGCTGGTAGGTTAATTGGCTCC